ACCTCGCTCATACTAATTGAAGGTATACCAAATCCACCAATATAAATAATAAGGCCAGATGGTAATAATGTAGCAGTGTAATCAATGCGAGAAGTAGGAACATTCTGGGGTATATTTGGAGTTGACCAAGTCATAGTAGTAATGTCAAATATATTCATATCATCAAATGTAACTGATGTATTATAATTCTTTCCGCTAAAACTATAAATTTTTCCATTATTATCAATAACATTATGTAATTCATTACGTGAAGCGAAAGAACTATTAAACCCATTTATAGTTAATGTAGTCCATAGAGATGTTTTAGCATTGAATACATATACAAGTGAATTAGATACATTAGTTGAAGTATTTGGAATGAATAACCTTCCACCAACAAAATAAACGGTGAAATTATCAATAGGACTGACACAAGCGCTACCAAAATTAAGTCCTACTGTCATTGAAACACCACTTTGCCATGGAGGTGAAGTTGTACTAAATAAATTTGATAAATCAAGATACCATACTTCATTGGAGACAATACTAGTTTGTAACCAACCCCCAAAAAAATATATTTTAGTACCAACTATAGCGCTAGCTTGTTCGTATCTAGGAATAGGTGTATTCTGACATATTACAAGAATAAAAAACAAATTTAGTATAAAAAAACAACAAGTGACCTTTTGAAAAAAATGCATATTGAAAATGCCAATCTCCCGGAACAAATGTTTTCAATATACATAATCCCAAATATAAATGTATCTTTTTTAAGGCGCTACCCTACATGTTAATTATTTCTTTTCAAAGCCTGATAGTTACACATTGGACTACAAATTACGTAAAGGACAATCGTACTATTTGTTCAAATTTCAAAAAAATCATATATAGGGAATCTTTTGTATAGTAGCACTATTATATATTATTATTGTATAAGTATGCTGCGTTCAGCGGGCGTTCTGATTCGGGATTGGCCAAAAGAGGAGATTTGTAGATAATGCCTGGTGGAGATAAAGCTAGTGTCGAATCAACTTTCTATATGATAGGCGTAATTGAAAGGTTAAGATATTGAGATGGATCTGTACAAATGTGTCCTCAAACTAGTGAGATTATGATCTACACAAATCCATGCACTGCAAACGTGTTTTTTTCTTTCATGTTTTAATGATAGGCACTCTAGCCTCCAGCGATCCTGTATTTAGCTGGTAATAGGAGGTTTCATGAATCAAGTTTGAAATTACAGTTGTGAGAGTTTGCGAATTTATTGGTGTGTAGATTTGTAATTTCAACACTGGGAAGATTCTTAATTTCAATTATGGGTATTTTCGTGGTTTCAACGATGTGAGAATTTATAATTTCAATAAGGATGGTCTTGTTTCAACAGTGAAATGAGTGTGCTTACCATTATAGTGTTCTGACCCGTCTCAAAAATCCCAAACCGGGTGTAAGGCTAGTACTTTCTGTTGTGATGGACCACAAAATTTGGCTGCTTTACATTTCGATTTATGCTAAATTATGCGATTCATATATAAATATACGATCGCTAAGGTTGTAAAATTACCATAATTTCCATGATTTCGTAACCTCCAGATAAATTACCATGCATTCCGGAAATCATGCTTGTTTCGTGTTCATTGACTGTCTAATGTTCATAGACAGAAGTTTGTCTGATTGGCTAATAAATTCAGTTTAATTTTACATTATTTATACGGTTTAGA